CCCCTTGCCCCTAATGGGAATCTCCATCCTCCACTGGGAAATCTGCCCCTCTGCAAGGGAGCAGGAGCTGCCCTTGCTCCCACACCCTGTGCCTCTCACCCCACTCCTCTGGCCAGCTGGCTCAACCAGCACAGCTCGCCTGGGCACCTGGCAGGAATCAACCCTTGACTCTTATACCCAGCAACCTCCCTGCCTCTCTTACAGATACCGGATCCTGCTGTCTTCCCCAAAGTGGACAAGGACATCTACAAAAAACGAGCTCCCATGTACAGCATAACAACCAAGAGCAGCCTTGGAGGTGACAAAACAGCCAGGCCAGGGCCGGCAGGCTACTGCTTGGGGAAGGTAAGTCAGTCTGCCTGCCTCCCCTCCTCCTCTGCAGGGGCAGGTGCTGCAAGTGCCCAGGCAGCCACACAGCCACGCATGGCAAAGGCAGGCACAGCAACTTGATGTGCCAGATGGCCTTCACCCAGGATGTGTCTGCTGGAGAACAAGGCACCACAGTCACCTTCTTTTTCTTCTCCTTTTTCCCTTTCCAGGCTCACCAAGCCCCAGGCACGTACTCCTACTTTCGGACTGCGGCACTCCCTCTACAAACTCCCCTAATCTTGGCTGTGCGACCTGCTCCTCACACCTGCCTTTGGAATGTGCGCTTACTGCACCCCGCTGCTCCCTCTTCTAAACCCTCAGAATTTGCTTCTGCTTTCCCGACACCCGTGAGTCCCATGACTTCAGACAATTCCTTGACTTAAGTCTTCCAATTCAGCAAACTCCTTTGGGACTCAGGGAGTCTAGTGACAGGACAAGGGGTAATGGTTTCAAGCAGAAAGAGGGCTGATTTAGATGAGATCTGAGGAAGAAATCCTTTACTGTGAGGGTGGTGAGACACTGGAACAGGTTGCCCAGAGAAACTCTGGAAGCCCCCACCCTGGGAAGTGTTGAAGGCCAGGTTGGATGGGGCTTTGAGCTATCTGGTCTAGTTGAAGATGTCCCCACTCACTGCAGGAGGGTTGATCCGTTCCGTCCCAAAACATTCTGTGAATCTCTCTGTATACTTATGGGTGTCCCTGTATACAGCACTGTTAACTGAGGAAGATTTAACAATACACCTAAAAGCATCTCTATTTGCAGACCTTTATTATCTTAATGGAGATCCTTTGGCAGCTTACTGTAATCTGTTATGCTAAAAGCGTAGTCATTTTGAAACACTGTCTGATAATGTAGCTGCCAGATCAGATTTGTGAATCAGAGATTATTTTCTGAGTTGTTGTGTAGTTCCTCTTTCGGCGGAAGTTTAGCTTCTAGGAGAACGTGTACACTGATGGTGTCATATAAGATAGAGATACATGTGGAAAATTTGCAGCCCGCTGAGTGTCAGGGTTGGATAAGTTCTTAAAGGCAGAAAAATAACAGTCTGAAATTATCTCTAGAGTTCTTTTCCCAAAGTGTTGTCTTTGTTTTGAGGGATTTTAGAAGAAATCATATGTTAGGGCAATGTTAAAAGTGGTGTGCTATAGTAACTGGGTCTCCATTTTTGCCGATGCTCTCCCTCTCACAAAGTAACCTTTGTTAGTTCATCCTAATATTCATTAATGCATTAATTCATTAATAACTGTTCATTTTCTTAGTTCCATGTAGTGATGGAGCAGTAATGAAACCTCATGAATGTTTCACAGTGAAATAAATCTTTCCCCAGTGTTTTAGTCTACTTCTAATCTGGCACTAATTCTGTGACATTTTGATTGTTCAGCTTAGAAAACTGGCTGGGGAGTGCTTCTACTTCTTTCCGCTTTGCACTGTTCACTTACTGTCCCTTGAAAAGCAGTGAAGTGGATAACAGTGTATCATCCTAAAGCATGTCCCAGGACTGAATTAAAATACTTCTAAGGTAATACAGAAGCTGAAAATTACTTCCTTGTCCTGCCTTTTATGCGTAGACTTTGTTTCCCATTCTTTCTGCTATTGCTTCTTCATACTGGACCACTTGCAAATTTTCCATTCTGAGATCACCCTATAGTTTCCCTAAATTAGGAGGGTCTCTTCTTCGGAGTTATGTTAGACCGTCCTGTTCTTGGGTACCTATCTTTATATATGATAAAGCTGTATTTTTCCATACCCTTGTGAGAAATTCTAGTACATCATTACAAATTATTTTTGACAGAGGGGATTTTATTTGTTACTGCTGGATTAAATGTCAGTTTCCCTTGATTTTAATAAATTATGGAACTAGTAGTCTTCTGCCAAGTAAGGAGTTAGTGCCCTTTGTTGAACTGTCTTCTAGTTATCAGTGTACTTGTTTGAACTCTGTGCTCTGTTAAAATATTTCTCTGTGTAAGTTTGAAAATGTGATCCACTCCATGTGTTCTTTTGGGAAATCCTGTTTTGCTTACTTTCTTAGCCCTTGGACTACTGCCACATTGATGGTGATCTTCAGGGGGCTCGTTACCTCTGTGGATGCAATGTGTGCAGTTTGTTTCCATTTCTTCTAGGATACTTTCAGGCTTATGTCCTAATTATATGTTTCAAAGTTTGTGGGAAAACCACAGCATTAATGGTGAAAGGTCTTTAATTGTTCTTGTTTTAGACTTAGGAAAAGACTGTCTGCAGTAAATGAGTAGGTGCCTTTCAAATGAAAACTTTAGGTGATATGACCATCATAAGCCTTAAGATTTTTTTGTCATGATGTTAAGATGTTTTGTCATGATACTTCTAGTGATGCACTGTCATCTGCAGTCTTTCCTATAAGTGCTGCAATTGGAGCTATTAATGGTGAAAGTTGTTGCAAATTATGATTAAAACTGGAAGCTTTTGATCCTATATGATCTGTTTTTATAGTTGTATTTCTGAGTCCTTGGTTTTAATCACCTGTTACTGAACATCTGAATGTGCATTTAAAGCTGTACTGCATTCAGTTACTCAAAAGCAAGTTCTTCACTTCTTTGATTTGTTTAAGGAGGCACATATATAAAATATTACTGAATTTATATGAGACAGTAATTCTCATATGTGTGTGTTTGTGGCAGACAAATACCCATATTTCTCCATCATGTGTTATTTGTGAGTACAGGATTGGTCTATGGGGATCTCTGCAGTGCATTTGACATTTTGAAAGAAGCCCTCAACGTCAACATTTCATTTTTCTCCAGGCTTCTGGGATTTGAAGGTCTCCAGACATTTGTTAGGTGGATTATCACGTGCTCCTGTGTTGAAATCCATTTCCACTGACTTGGATAGACTGGTAGTTTAAAACTCTTTAGTGATTACATCATGATTTTCCTGACTTAGGTGCAGAAGAATTGCGTATCCATGTTAAATTTTAAAGCACTGAGATAATGTATGGATGTACTTACCTCATTTTAACAAAGTTTTGCATGTGAGCTTAATGGAGGATCGTCTTTGCAGATTGACTTGAACTAACCTCATATTTGTGCGCTGTTAGGCACTGGAATCCATTGGCCAGTGGTGGGAGAAAGAGAAGACAAAGCTGGAAAAAACCTGGAGCAAACCCACTTCTCTTCCCATCTGTAGCATCTATCATAGATTCTTTTTGTTTTGTTTTGATTGGGCTCTTAAGCCATTGTAGGAGTTCTCTGAAGCTACCAGAAGAAAAGCCTGAATCTTTAGTGTTAAGGAAATGGAAACTCAGGAGGCATGCCTGTGTCGTTGCTTTTGTTCATATTGACATTAGTATTTTGTAACCAATGGCAACTCCCCAGTATACTTGTTTATGTGTATACATAAAAAAAAACCTTCACAATTTTAGCAGTGTTCCATATGCTTCTAAGAGATAAGATGGTACATTTTTGACACATTGTCTTTATTTGGTTGAAGGTGTATGTGATTCAGATCTCGAGTGGACCACCAAGATCTGATGGTGTGTGTGGCTTTTTTGCGGGGGGGAGGAAGCACGGGGCTCGGGGTTTGATTGGTGTTGGTGTGTGCTTATTTGTGGTTTTGGTTTGGGGTTTTTTCCTGGATATATTGCTGTAGTAAGTTTTCCGTTTGTAACATGATGCTCAGGGGCTATCAGTGTAATGTGTAGTTTGTTTACAGGTGTGTGTTGAATTGCACCTGTCTAGAATGTAGTAGTGCTGCAACTACTTCTAACGCTGACAAAAAAATAGATGTTAGGGCTATTAAGAGAGTCAAGAAGTACTTCATTCACAGTATCTAGCTCTTGGAGTATGTCTACAGTTTACAACTAAGACTGTTTTTATTGTTCTCAGAAACAGATTTCTTCATTTTGTGTTCTCCATTTCACATTCTTCAATTCTGAGACGGGCACTATCAGCCACGGGGTTGATACTGGGGCTTAAAAGTGAGAACTGATAGGCATTTGTGGGTTTTGTCTTTAAGGAAGAAATCACAAAGATGGATTTTGTAGCTTGTTTTATAAACCCCCTTTAATTTGCTTAAATGAGGAGCAAAATTTTCAACACAATATAATTTAAGAATAGGTGGGGATTCTGGAAAGCTGTCTCTGTATTCACTGGACCTCATGAGTCATCCTGTTGCATAGAGCTGCCCCTGTGTGTTTCATTGGGCTATTCTGCCTTGCAGCCTTTAGTTATGCGCCAGGATTTGTCCAAATTTTTGAATTATTTTTGAGCATAGTGGTAAATCTTGTGATGATCTATAATGGGAATTAAACCACTAGTAAAATAAGCTCTTGGGAGCAGGTAATCATCTCTAATTCGTGTCTGTATTAATTGCTGTCGTCCATTATTCTAGAATCTTTATTTGTTTACTTATTCTAAAATGAACATTGGCCCCAGTGAAGAAGCCAGGCAAACTCAAAACTTTCACAGCATGTGAAATATTTGTCAAGGGACTGTATGTATTCAAGTCAATCTAAATAATTTTTGACAATTCTAAAATTGTATTCACTACAAGGAGAGAAAATGGCACTATATAAAATCATAACATCACAGTAGAGTACAAGGAGAGATTATAGTTGTATGGTAAGTCACTTTATTTCTTTGTAAATGAAATTCACTGTACACTATCACTTTCTGAACTGTGTTTTCCACTCAAGTTATTTTGTAAGGATTAAATTAAATTCATTGCAGGGTACATGCTTTCAGAGATTGTAACAGTTCCTATTTGTTTGAAATATACCATGACTTTCTTAGCAGTGAAAGAAAAAGTTCAAAAGACAGTTTTCCACCTCGTTGCTTCTTTTCATAACAGTGCTCATACTTCAACTGCAGGATTTTGCTGAATACAAATGGAAGTGAACCTATGTCAGAGTGGAAATATCAAAATCATAGAGAGGCACTGTGCTTTGCTCTTTTCAAGTTGGGGGTAAATGTTGTACTGCTGTGGTTACTTAGAACTCAGGCTGCATTTAAAGTACTATGAATGTACTTTCTCTACATAAATCTTTTCCAATGCCTGAGGTTTACTTGCTTCTAAAGTAGCAGACTCAAATGGGACAGTCTGTCTGACCTTTCACAGGAAAGTAGGAAGCTTTGACAAGGTGAAAATGTCTAGCTCTCCATTCTTAAAGGTGACCAAATGAAAGCGCTTTGTGTCATCACTGAGTGAAGTAAATACATAGTTGTAGACCATGTAGGGATGCTTATGTAGCAGGGTTCTCCTTCAGAGAGCAATGCCATCTTTTAAACTAAATTTCAGTTTAGTTTGTGGATTCAGAAGCTAGTTTACATTTCTAAACAGCTTAGAATGCCAATATTGTACTAGCTGGGTTGTTGAA